CGAGAATCAAACTCCTAGACCAGCAAGCCACTATGCAAAGGAATGTTTTATGTGGCGACACTATCTGCTGACAAACTGGAATTCTTCGAAAGACATTTTAATGAAAGACATAGTGCCCTGTAAAACACATAACACCTGTAAGGGCTCGTCCGGGATTTGAACCCAGGATCTCTCACACCCGAAGCGAGAATCATACCCCTAGACCAACGAGCCACTGCAAAACAGTAACTTTATATGGCAACACTATCAGCTGACGAACTGGCATTCTCAGAAAAAAGGCCTATGTGTAAGCCACAACGCCCTTACAAAACAGCAGACAACTGTAAGGGCTCAACCGAAATTTGAATCTGGGATTTCTCACGGCATGAACGAGAATCATAGTCCTAGACAACCAAACCACTATGCAAAGGAATGCTTTATGTGCCGACACTATCTGCTGACAAACTGGAATTCTTCGAAAAACGTTTTTTATGAAAGCCATAATGCCCTGTAAAACAAAAGAATAACTGCAAGGGCTCGTCCGGGATTTGAACCCGGGACCTCTCGCACCCTAAGCGAGAATCATACCCCTAGACCAACGAGCCACAAAAGCTTGAATATTTTACAAGACATCAGAAGGAACAGATGGTCAGAAATCCTTATCTAACAAACATTGAAGCAGGGCTTTTGCTTCATTTGGACCCGGGACTTCTTCAATGGTTCGTCCAGGATTTGAAAACAAGACCTCTCGCATCTTAAGCGAGTATCATGCCCGTAGACCAACGAGCAACTGCAAAACAGCCACTTTACATGGCAACACTATCTGCTGACAAACCGGCATTCTCAGAAAAAAGGCCTCTGTGTAAGCCACAACGCCCTTACAAAACAAAAGACAACTGTAAGGTTTCAACTGAAATTTGAACCTAGGATTTCTCATGGCATGAACGAGAATCAAACTCCTAGAACAGCAAGCCACTATGCAAGAAATATTTTATGTGGCGACACTATCTGCTGACAAATTGGAAATCTTTGAAAGACATTTTAATGAAAGACATAATGCCCTGTAAAACACAGTACACCTGCAAGGGCTAATCCAGGAACTGAACCCGGGTCCTCTCTCAACCGAAGCGAGAATCATACCCATAGACCAATGAGCCACTAAATTGAGAGAATTTCACAAGACGTCAGATGGTCAGAAATCTTTCTCTAACGAATCAAGGGCACCCTAAGTGAGAATCATACCCCTAGACCACCGAGCCACTGCAAAGCAGCAACTTTATATGGCAACACTATCTGCTGACAAACTGGCATTCTCAGAAAAAAGGCCTCTGTGTAAGCCACAACAACCTTACAAAACAGCAGACAAGTGTAAGGGCTCAACCGAAATCTGAATCTGGGATTTCTCATTGCATGAACGAAAATCATACGCCTAGACCAGCAAGCCACTATGCAAAGGAATATTTTATGTGGCGACACTATCTGCTGACAAACTGGAATTCTTCGAAAGACATTTTAATGAAAGTCATAGTGCCCTGTAAAACACATGATACCTGCAAGGGCTCGTCCGGGATATGAACCCAGGACCTCTCTCACCCAAAGCGAGAATCATACCCCTAGGCCAACGAGCCACTACATTGATAAAACTTCACATGGCGTCAGAACCATCAGATAGTCAGAAAACTTTCTCTAACGAATCAATGGCACCCTAAGCGAGAATCATACCCCTAAACCAATTAGCTACTGTAACAGCCACTTTACATGGCAAAACTATCTGCTGATGAACTGGCATTCTCAGAAAAAAGGCCTCTGTGTAAGCCCGTAGACCTTACAAAACAGCAGACAAATGTAAGGGCTCAACCGAAATTTGAATCTGGGATTTCTCATTGCATGAACGAAAATCATACTCCTAGACCAGCAAGCCACTATGCAAAGGAATGTTTTATGTGGCGACACTATCTGCTGACAAACTGGAATTCTTCGAAAGACATTTTAATAAAAGTCATAGTGCCCTGTAAAACACATGACACCTGCAAGGGCTCATCCGGGATTTGAACCCGGGACCTCTCACACCCAAAGCGAAAATCATACCCGTAGACCAACGAGCCACTACATTGATAAAACTTCACATGGCGTCAGAACCATCAGATAGTCAGAAAACTTTCTCTAACGAATCAATGGCACCCTAAGCGAGAATCATACCCCTAAACCAACTAGCTATTGTAACAGCCACTTTACATGGCAAAACTATCTGCTGATGAACTGGCATTCTCAGAAAAAAGGCCTCTGTGTAAGCCCGTAGACCTTACAAAACAGCAGACAAATGTAAAGGCTCAACCGAAATTTGAATCTGGGATTTCTCATTGCATGAACGAAAATCATACTCATAGACCAGCAAGGCACTATGCAAAGGAATGTTTTATGTGGCGACACTATCTGCTGACAAACTGGAATTCTTCGAAAGACATTTTAATGAAAGTCATGGTGCCCTGTAAAACACATGACACCTGCAAGGGCTCGTGCAGGATTTGAACCCGGGACCTCTCACACCCAAAGCGAGAATCATACCCCTACCCCAACGAGCCACTACTGTGATAAAATTTCACATAGCGTCAGAAGCATCAGATAGTCAGAAAACTTTCTCTGACGAATCAAGGGCACCCTAAGCCAGAATCATACCCCTAGACCAACGAGCCACTGCAAAACAGTAACTTTACATGGCAACACTATCTGCTGACAAACCGGCATTCTCAGAAAAAGGCCTCTGTGTAAGCCACAACGCCCTTACAAAACAAAAGACAACTGTAAGGGTTCAACTGAAATTTGAACCTAGGATTTCTCATGGCATGAACGAGAATCATACTCCTGGACCAGCAAGCCACTATGCAAGAAATATTTTATGTGGCGACACTATCTGCTGACAAATTGGAATTCTTTGAAAGACGTTTTTACGAAAGATATAATGCCCTGTAAAACACAGTACACCTGCAAGGGCTCATCCGAGAATTGAACCCGGGTCCTCTCGCAATCGAAGCGAGAATCATACAGATAGACCAATGAACCACTAAATTGAGAGAATTTCACAAGGTGTCAGATAGTCAGAAATCTTTCCCTAACGAATCAAGGGCACCCTAAGTGAGAATCATACCCCTAGACCACCGAGCCACTGCAAAACAGCAACTTTATACGGCAACACTATCTGCTGACGAACTGGCATTCTCAGAAAAAAGGCCTCTGTGTAAGCCACAACAACCTTACAAAACAGCAGACAAGTGTAAGGGCTCAACCGAAATCTGAATCTGGGATTTCTCATTGCATGAACGAAAATCATACTCCTAGACCAGCAAGCCACTATGCAAAGGAATGTTTTATGTGGCGACACTATCTGCTGACAAACTGGAATTCTTCGAAAGAGATTTTAATGATAGACATAGTGCCCTATAAAACACATAACATCTGCAAGGGCTCGTCTGGGATTGGGACCCAGGACCTTTCACACCCAAAGTGCGAATCATACCCCTAGACCAACGAGCCACTAAATTGAATTTATTTCACATGGTGTCAGAAGCATCAGATAGTCAGAAAACTTTCTCTAACGAATCAAGGGCACCCTAAGCGAGAATCATACCCCTAGATCAACGAGCCACTGCAAAACAGTAACTTTATATGGCAACACTATCAGCTGACGAACTGGCATTCTCAGAAAAAAGGCCTCTGTGTAAGCCACAACGCCCTTACAAAACAGCAGACAACTGTAAGGGCTCAACCGAAATTTGAATCTGGGATTTCTCACAGCATGAACGAGAATCATAGTCCTAGACAACCAAACCACTATGCAAAGGAATGTTTTATGCGCCGACACTATCTGCTGACAAACTGGAATTCTTCGAAATACATTTTTTTGTCTTTATTTTAACAAAACAAAAAAGAACAGAACAATGACAACAGCTTACAACCAAGAAATTTCTTAGCATCACAGCACATAATGAAAATCAAAATCAAAAAGAAGACATAAAAATACAGAGTAATAATAAAAATAGAAAAGTACATAAATTAACCAAAGTTTATGGTGATCTAAGGTTTTGCAAAAATGTACCTGAAATCCTAGGACCTACATATTCAAGCAACGGAGTCCAGATCTGATAAAAAGTGTTTTTCTATGGAGAGAGATTAGACTCAATAATAATTCACGCAAAAGACACGATGTACACATGCGTAGCCAAATTTACATGCGTAAAATATTTATTTATACTCACAAAAACAATTCACATGCACAAAATAAAAATACATTTTCATAAAATACATTTCACAAATGCAAAACACCATTTGCAAATATATAAGAGTGTACAAAAAGTTTTGAATGTTTAAAATTCACGAGTTCATCCTGAATGAGAATGTGCAAATCCTCTCTCACGTACGACTCACCCTGAATACGAGTGTGTGCATTTTTGAGACTTTCCTGTCAGCACACACCTCCCACGTGAGTCACTCGTGCCCTGTAGCCAATAAGATGCGAGCTTACTGTTCAACCAATCACAACTCCCTGAGAACGCGGGAATGACCGAAGCGCTTCACTGTGCGCTCCATTTGCGCAGTCTGACCTAATTAACGGAGATGATCCTCTAAGAAGAAGAATACTCCTCTATTTAGCATGGCAGGTGAAGAGCGGGATGCGCGGGTAAGTGGTTACTTGATTTCTATAGTGGTTTATGTATGCAAAGATTAAGTATCAAACGTTTGTTAAAGCAATGGCTGCTGTTGTTTATAATGTAAACTTTATAACGTAAATTAAGTCCGTTATTAAGCCAACATGGCGAGTGAAAAACGGGATGGTCGTGTAAAATAGCATGGCTTCTGTCATGGTCGATTCTAGGATTGTCATTCAAGGAGGGCTCAGCTATAAATTTGATCGGGGACTAATTTGGGGGTGGAATCGATCGCGTACTAAAGTGAAGACCGGGAGAGCGTAATGCCGTTTTGGGTGTGGGTGGGTATGGGGGGTGGAGAAAGGAGATGATCGCCGACTGTAAGGAACGGGCGGGGTGGGGGTCGGCAGTGTTGATCGCGGACTATGAAGATAACAAATGATAAAAGGTATAATTGGTATTTGTCTTACAGGCACTGTCATTAGAAGTAGAAATAGCAGCAAAAGCTCTGATCGATGTATTAGCCAGGGGCCTTACTCCATCTTCGTAAAGAAATGCACTAGCAAGTGGTAGTAGACCAATGAGAGAAAGCATCTCAAGTGGGACCATTCCTTTGCCTGCAGAGCCTGAAAACATGGTAAGGCAAGCCTTAAAAAGGTAATTTTTCATGTTTACTGTAAAACACAACTTTTTGTGTCATGCAAAAAATGTTTCTTATTATTAATATGTTTATTCATTTTGCCCTTTTGTCACTATGGGCAATTCCCAAGTATGTTTGGGACAGAGATTTTTCTGTGGCCAAACCTGGAAACATTAAAAAAACTGATTTTCAAATACATGTCCTCTCTAAACCATCACCCTTCACACCAAAAGGAGATGAAGACCTTGAGCTTGTCCATGCTGGACTTGGAAAAAGGCTTTTAACTGTTCCAGATAATTTTAAACACAGTGAGGTAATTGCAAATGTTACCATAATACTAGGAATTGATGGGAGTTTTATATCTGTTGGAAAAAAAAAAAAAACTAAATGATGAATTTTGTTTCATTCTTAAGATTGTCAGTCTGCTTGAAGGAGAGTTTCCCAAATTAAAAACACTTCAGGGTGGCTGGATGTTTTACAAGTCTACAGGTATTTATGTTTTGCATGTTACATATAAACAAAAAATGATTTGTGTGCATTTGCAATAACTTTGCACTTTTGTAAATTAATGAAACTGGTATGTGCTTTGTTGGCGTTAATAATTTAGTAATAAGCTTCATTAGTTTAAACTTTTTAGTCAAGGACATGTTTCTTTGCCATGTTCTAAGATTATGGCATGCCCTACTTCAGTTTTCCAGTGGTAAACAGAGCTTTATAGAACATTTCTGTCCAAAATTTTAGGTGACACATTTATAACAATATTGCTAGCCCAAGAAGGCAACAGTAGTCCTGAATGTGATTCTCAATTGATTTTGCCATTAGGTGGGGGTGGGCGGCGTAAGCTGTCTATAATTCCCACAGATGCTGATGGATACTCAACTCGACTCCTAAAATCAGTGTCAAATAATGGAAAGAACATGCTGTTTGTAGTTCCATTACAGGAACAGCTTTCCACTGAACCATTACCTTATGATTCTGTGGAGTTTGCTAAGATGCCACAGTCCAGCTGTATGAAATGTGGTAAGAAAATACCACTGCCATTGCTGCCCTTACACATTGAAGAGTGTAAAGAAGCTGAGACAGTAAGTCATACAGTATTATGGTTTTATTGTTCTATCAATATTATTTATTTACAATGCCAATGCATTTTGATTACTTTTATTAGGAGTCTTCAAATGATTTGACCATTCTAGATGATGATGTAGACGAAAATGTAATCGAAACTGTTGACCAGCCAAGCCCACTTCACCCCATCTTAGAACCATCATTACAGGTCTTTGATCAAAGCCTATTTCTTGTATTTGAGTATACTCACTATATTTGAATATACCCAATTCGTGGTTCCATAAAGAATGTGTTTGAAGCTATTAAAAATTTGAGACTATTCTTAATATTTTAGAATCTTTTTATGGGGTAGAATATGTATGTTCTTCAACAAATTTGCTACAAACATACATTGTTTAATTTATTTTTACTTTTTACAGATTTGTCCAATTTGCCAGATCTCTTTCCCAACTGATGTCTTGCCTTTTCATGCAAGCATGTGTGGTGAAGGGTAAAGTTATGCTAAAAATTGTAGGATGACATGCCTTTAATACTAAAGGATTAGTTTGCACAGTTTGTTTTGGTTGTATATATCTCGAGGGAGATGTACAAAGATCAGATGGAATGTAGGGTAAAAAATTAACAAAATAATTTTCTGGTGGACTGTCTTAAATTTAAATTAATGTGTTGGTTTCATAAACTGGGTCAGTAGTAGACATTATTAGATTTGATGTATGTAGCTTTTATAAGCCTTGCTTTGAGAAAATCATTACTGGTGACTTTTGACATTAATGGCTATATACAGTATGTCATTGTAAGTTACATCCAGACTTTGTCTGGCACTAGGGTCTAAGCCTTGTCTATGAAACTGGGCAAATGCTTTTAATATGCATGAACATTTTTGAAGTGGCTTAATGAACAAAATTGAAATTGTTTGTGTCTTGCCTGTTTTAGAGAAAGGACTTTTGGTGACAATGATTCTTCATTCACTTTAAATACAGAAGAATTGCCAGGACCCTCAACTGCACAATCTTCAACATCATTGTCTGCAGGTTAGACACAACACATTTTTTTTTTTCAAGAGTTCACACTTAGCTGATAATCAATAAAGCGTATTTGGCATGTTGTCCCGGGAGAGAGCCCTGAGCTCGTAATATCCCCGGGGCTCCCTCCCGTTAGAAGGGCGAGAGGGGAATTCGAGGTCAGGTAGGTCTCGAGAACTCCCCTGCTTGTCACCGTGAGAAGTGTAAACTCAGGTTGTATTGGGTGATAATTTGTTTTAGTCGATTGCTATGGTTTATGTTTTTGGACGGTGGGAGGAAACCGGGGAACCCGGGGAAAACCCACGCGAACACGGGGAGAACATGCAAACTCCACACAGAAACACCAACCAGCCCGATGGGTTGGACTAGCGGTGTTCTTACTGTGAGGCAACAGTGCTAGCCACTGGGCCACCGTGTCGCCCGATCAGAAAAAGTGGGAGGATGTAGGGGTGGAAGGGGGGGAGCTTCAAGACGAAGATAACTGGAGTGGAAAACTAAGGTTATTTATAATGCTTCCGTAATCATCTAATAGGGCTTATTACGAAGCTAACAAGGAGCCAGCCGTGTTGATAATAAGCACGTGATCCTCTCGAAATTAGTTTATGAATAAACCACACTTCAAGAGTTCACACTTAGCTGATAATCAATAAAGCGTATTTGGCATGCTGTCCCGGGAGAGAGCCCTGAGCTCGTAATATCCTCGAGCCCGGGGCTCCCTCCCGTTAGAAGGGCGAGAGGGGAATTCGAGGTCAGGTAGGTCTCGAGAACTCCCCAAAAGGCAAAGGTTTTCATCTCGGGACAGCAGCCGCGTATTGAAGTGCCCCCCAAAAGGCGAGAGGTCAGTGCCATATCCGGCTGCTGAATGTGAATTGAAGTGAGATAGGTTACTGCAGGAGAAAAGTTGAAACTGATTCTTAGGAGAGGCTGGGGACTCTGTTGGAGTTGGGTTCGGGGAGGCAGGGTTGGGGAGCCTAACGGAAGAAAGGAGAGTAGCAGAGGGATTTGGTGCTAGAAATAGGAAAGTAGCAGAGTAACTCGACGCTGAAAGAAGAAAAGTAGCGGAGGAACTCAACGCTGGGAAAGGGGAATGTAGTGGGTAGGGGAGAGGGGTTGTAGAGGGGGTGGAGAGAAGAGCGGAAGCATTCGACGCTGTAAGGAAGTAAAGAGGATGCGGAGGAACTCAACGCTGGGAAGAAGAGAGCATGAGATGCGGCGGAACTCGACGCTGGAAAGGTAAAGAAAAGAAACCTATGGGGATCAGAGCTCTGGGTCAACTCCGTGGGAGTTAGAGCTGTAGGATTGGACTACTACAGGAGTCTGGGAAGGGAGGGAGAGGTGGAGACTCCTGTAGGTGGTGGGCTGAGCAGGACTCCGGGGGAGTCAGAACGTGGGAAGACTCCTTGGGAGTCAGATTGGTGAGTGATGTTTTTGAAATATAGAAAGAGTAGCGGAGGAACTCAATGCTGAAAATAGTAAAGTAGCGGAGAAACTCAACGCTGAAGAAAGAAAGTAGCGGAGAAACTCAACGCTGAAAGGGGGATTGGGAGTTAAGGGTGGGGAGAGGAGAGAAGTTGTAAGAGGGGGGAGAGGAAAGAGCGGAAGCATTCGACGCTGGAAGGAAGAGAAAGAGATGCGGAGGAACTCAACGCTAGGGAATATAGGACAGGAGATGCGGAGGAACTCAACGCTAGAAGGTAGGAAAGATGCGTATTTGGCCGGGGCGAGAGAGAGAGGGGAGGGGGGACTCCGTGGGAGTCTTAGCTCTTGGGGTAACTCTGTGGGAGTTAGAGCTGAAAGATTAGGCTCCTACAGGAGTCTAAATGGGGAGGGGGTGGTGGAGACTCCTATAGGAGGTGGGCTGGGCAGGACTCCGGGGGAGTCTAAGCTTAGACTGGAAAGGTAAGAGTAGCGGAATACTCAACGCTAGAAGGAAGTGATAGTAGCGGAGCAACTCGACGCTGAAAAAGAAAAGAAGCGGAGAAACTCGACGCTGGAAAGGGGGTAGGGAGTAAAAGATATTTAGGAGGTGGGGGGAGAGTGGGAGGGGATGGAGGAAAGAGCGGAAGCATTCGACGCTTGAAGGAAGGAAAGGAGTTGCGGAGGAACTCAACGCTTTAGAACATAGAATAGGAGATGCGGAGGAACTCAACGCTAGAAAACAAGAAAGTTGTCGATTGTGGAGGGGGGGGGGGGGTAATTGATTGACTCCGGGGGAGTCAGGCCTTGAATGGTGATACTTAGGCTGAAGAGATGAGAGTAGCGGAAGAACAACACTAGAAGGAAGAGATAGTAGCGAAGCAACTCAACGCTGAAAAGAGAAAAGTAGCGGAGAAACTCGACGCTGGAAAGGGGTAGGGAGTAAAAGATGTTGAGGTGGTGGGGGGAGAGTGGGAGGGGATGGAGGAAAGAGCGGAAGCATTCGACGCTTGAAGGAAGGAATGGAGGTGCGGAGGAACTCAACGCTAGAAAGGAGAAGAAGGAGGTGCGGAGAAACTCGACGCAGGAAGGAAGTGAAGACTGAAAAGATTTTATACTGGTAGCCTTGGGGAAAAAAGTTTTGCTCCTGTTGGGGTCGGGGTTCAGGCACTCTTGGGAGAGAGATAGGGGGAGATTATTTGCTGAACTGGGAGCGCTGAAAGAGGCGGGGGGGATGGGGGGGGTTGGGGAACAGGCAGAATTAAATTTCTGTCCTTGTATTCAAGATAGAGGATGTCGTGAGTGCGAGCTGTGAGGATGAATTGATATCCTCTCCAAATGTATACATGCATCACGCTGAGGCTGTTACGTGTAATTGGGCTAGACGATAATAACGAGTAAACGCTTTTATGGAGGCGTTTAAACTGTTGTGAAGTGTCAATAGTGGTATGTTGAATGGAAGTGTATGTGAGCTTAGGCAGAGCGTCACTGCTGCGACAGTGAAGCGGGGGGGAAAAGAAGCTCTGCAGCTTCTCTGCTGTTGCAGAGCTGTGGTGGAAGTCAATGTCGGGAGGCGGGTACGCTTTCCCGAAAATGTATAACTGCTGTGCAGTGTTGGGGAGTGGGAAGGAAAGGAGCTGCGCTGTGACAGTGGTGCAATGGGAGAATAAGGCTTGGCTGAGCATCTCTACTGTTGCAGGTACGGTGGTAGTCAGTATTGGAGCATTATAGGTGCTCCCACAAAAATATTAAATATCAGAAGGGATGTGTGGAGATGAAAGTAAGTAGGGGCTCAGGTAGAGTGTCACTGCGGTTGTTGTGATGCTATGGTGAGTGTAGCTCAGCGGAGCGCTACTGCTATTGGATAGGTGCAGTAGTGATTGGTATTGGAGAGTTTTGAATGCTCTCGCAAGAATATTAATTACTGTTAGTAGTGATATGTAGAGAGGAAGTGAATAAGGGCTTAGCTACAGGTGCAATGGGTGAGTATGGCACAGTGGAGCGGTTCTGCTGCTGCAGAGAATCAGTATGGAGACAATGTGTGCTCCTGCAGAAGCATTTACTGCTGTATTAGTGCAGGGCAGTGTGACGAGTGTTATTGGACTTGTAAGTGTATAGAGCTTGCTTAGAGCATCCCTGCTGCAGTAATAGAAAAATTTAGGCAACCCCTAAATAAGTTGGAACTGTGGTGAGTGAAAATGTATGGGTGTATGGGATAGTTTAAGTTGTGCTTACACTTAAAACATTTGAATTGTGTGAGTGGGGGAAGGGATGTCGAAAATGTATATAGGACATGCTTTGCCGAAATAATCGGTTTGCTTGCTTAATGGAGAGAGATAGTGTTCCTCCAGTCAGATCAGATAAGGTGAGGTGGATTGTGGGATTGCAACTGATGGTAATTCAGAGAATCTCAAAACCCGAAGACTAGTGTGAATATGGCATTATGGATGTGGGCTGTATGATTGGAAATGCATCCTTGTGTAGATTGTGATTGCATTTGGAATGGATGTGGAGTGTAATAGGTTGGATGAAGGTCAGCTTCTGGGCCGGCTGTCCTAATGTCTGGAATGAGAAACAAGAAAAAAATCAGAAATTTAATTTACAACATGATACATGTATAGCAGACATGACAAAATTGTTTTAGCTGATATCTAATGCAAGGCATCTTAATAAGAGCATGGACAATTGTGAGCTTCGTTGTCGCAGTCTGCGAGGATGATCGAGGTGGGCATTTGTTCCCCCGCAGGATAGCAGGTGGATGCAGAGCTGGGGATATGGGGTGTAGCTTGTCTGGTGGTCCTAGAAATTCTTCTTGAAGATTTATTTAAGTGAAGTTTATTCATAAACTAATTTCGAGAGGATCACGTGCTTATGATTTATCACGTCCAGTCTCGCATTTGCTAATCACTAATCTTCCAATCATATGAGCCCTAAGGCACCATAAATAGTCTAAGTTTTCAGTTCACTTTATCTTCGTTTGGAAGAAGCAGCTTCACCGTAGCTAGCTCCGTTGAAGAACCAACTCTAAACCAGCATGGACAACTAAAGCAGCAACAAGCTACAATCTTCAGGATCTTCATTTGGAAGAACGCTCTGCTCTGCTCATCAACTACAAAAGCTACAAGTGCTACAAGCTACAAAAGCTTCAAGCTACAATCTACAATATACAATCTAAAAGCTTCAATCTACAAGCTACAATATACAAGCTACAGCAACAACAACAACAACTACTATTGCTACCATTTCAAACAACTACAACTCCAACAATTTCATCAACAGCTTAAACAACAACACCAAAACCTTCCACTTCAAAGAGCCTCCACAACGCATCTGCTGTGTCTTCAACCTTATTTCCCAGCAAGATATAAGCCAAACTCCAAAGCTATTGCAATAAAACGGAACCCTCACCTTCTCCTAGCAGTACACATGCTATCCATCGTTTAACAGATTGTTTGCTGGAATGTGTTCAGCAGAGCAGCAGCTCCAGCCACAAACAATGTTGAATTTGATCAACAAAATGGCCGCCAGGCTTTTTGCACCTTTTGCATGGCCTGACTGAAACTCCTTAAGCCAATAGCTGTAAAGATAAGCGTCTCCATCCAATGAGCTAAA